GAGTTTGCATGAAAAGGTTCTGAGGGCCTTAGTGGCCCACAAGCATGCTATGGAGTCCAGGTCTCTAGGCCCTGAAGGTATCTTTGCCCTTACAGACACAAGTGAGACTCCGTGAAGAGGGGAAACAAATCCTTTGTTCAAGCAGAAGTAGAGCCGGGACAGAAGAGTTAGTCCTCTCCTTCTACATTTGGTCACATCCCAAGAGGCAGGAGAGGCCTGAGAGGGGAGAGAGGTCAGTATGGTTGCTGACATCAGGAGAGGCTTCCTGGAAGGAGGGTGAGTTATACTCCGAGGAGGCAATGTGCAGCCCCCATCTCACCAGAGGCCCTACCTGCACCTCGAGCCCAGAGCCCAGAGCCTCCAGTGAAGCAACCATGCAATGGTTTTGAACAGCAGAACCCAGGCTTACTGAGGTCAGCCCGGGCTGACCCTGTGCCCGAAGGCTCCTGGCCCCCAGACATGAAACCACCCACCCAGGCCACGCCTTGGGCCTGCCTTGTCTCCCCAGTGTGGCAGCATGGGGTGGGAGTTGGGGAGGGAAGTGAGTCACCACTGCTTGCTGATTCAGCCACAGGGACTGTCCATGACCCTAAGGAGCCAGGCCAAGATCAGTGGCCAAGAGCCTGCCCAGCTCATCCCAGCAGGGTGTGTGGCCCGGGGCCTGGCTAAGCCTCTTCCTGCCAATGATGACCTCATTTCGCCCACATGGCTCTGGTGGGTCATTAGCCCATTGCGGAGATGGGGAAGTTGAGACTCAGAGAAGCCCTATATTGGGCAGAGCCAGACATGGAAACAGGGCAGCTCCAGGCAAAGCCACTGCGCCTAGGGTGGCCGACAGCGAGACGGGGCCCAACAGAGGGTCTGTCCCCCTCTGAGTCCCTTGGCCAGAGTTCCAGCCTCAAGGAAACTTCTGTCTTGGGAGAGCTGTGCCACCTCTCAACTAGGGAAGGAGCTCAGTAACTGCACAAAGGAATGAATGAATGAATGAACAAATGAGTGTACAAAAGAATGAACAAGTGAATGAACAAATGAGCAAATGAATGAGTGAACGAATGAGCAAATGAGCGAGTGAATGAACAAACGAGCAAATGAGTGAATGAACAAATGCATGAGTGAATGCTTTGCCAGGTACAAAGGGGTGGGCGTGTGCAAGGGCGGCCCTGGCCCCTGCATCCTCACTGCTCTGCCCCCGCCTCCCAGGCAAGCAAGCTGCCCACAGAGACCAATGGCCCCCAAGGCTCCTAATGACCCCACCACCCATACGGCCCAGGACCCCCGGCTAAGTCCTGTGACCCACCCAGAGCCTAGCATCTGCTGTGCTGGTCAGAGGTTCTGCCCAAGGGTGCAGGTGACCCAGTGGTCTCAGCCCAGCATGGAGGGCTGGGCCCAGGCAGGTTGAACCCACTGTCTGGGTGGCCCTGGACCAACGTCATCACCCTCGAGCCTCAGTTTTCTCACCTGCTGCTGCATGGGGCTGCAAGGTGTCCCCATACCTGTTCAGAGGGCAGCTGCATTCAGGTGTGTCCAAGGCTAGGAGTGGCTGCACGGTCCTCCCCCACGCCTCCCCCAGGCTGTCCTCGACAGCCCCACCTGACCCCACCTGAGGTAAGAGAGGGGGCTTTGTTCCATTCCAGATACATTTCTGGAGGGGGGGGGTTGTTCCTTTATTATTGTAGAGGGGGAGGGGGGCCCAGAGACATCAAAGGGTTTGCCTGAGTCCACACAGCAAGTGGAGTAACTTGAGCCCGGCTTTCAGGGCTCCTCTCTGGGTGTGTGTGAGGGGGAGCAGGGCTGAGGGGTGCCCACAGGGCCTGGGAAGGAGGGGGCTGGGCAGCGGAGGGGCAGCTGCTCAGGCCTAGGTGGGAACGAAGACCCAGCCCCTGCCCTCTACCCCACCCCCACTCTGACCCACCCCTATTCTCTGCCCCACCCTTGTCTGAGGCACTGTCTCAGGTTGGGGAGACTGTAGGAGCTTCCTCACCCGTCTCCCCGCCTCTACACCCTCTCCACGTCATTGCTTACTGCGGAATTATCCCCAACTTGCTGCGACTCCATGCACAACAGAACGAAACACTGCCTAGTCCTGCTCCATCCCCATGTTCAGTTGTGGATCTGACCACTGTGACCCACAGGGTCTTTTTGGTTGATTTTTGGAAGTCGATTGCTAGGCCTTTCTTCTTAGTCTGGAAGCTCTGCTGAAACCTGTTTGGTGTCACAGCAACATGCAAGCCTCCACTGACAGACAGGTGGTAGCTGCGCATGAGGTTCATTGGCTGGGAATTGAACCCAAGTCTACTGTGTGGATGGCAGGATTCTACCACGGCCGTGTTCCTCCTCCCCACATGGCCACAGGAAGGGTCTTCTATGACACAAGTCAGATATTCTCTCCTCTGCTCAGACTCCCCAGTGGTTTTTCCCTGCCCTTCAGATAAAACCCAAGCCCCACGCAGGGCCTCACGGGGCATGTCTCTGGCTTCCTCTTCCACATCATCAGGGGAGGCACATCTAGGTCTCGTGCTCATCCTGGACCCAGCAGCAGGGACCCCGCAGGCCATGATCATCTCTGGGCCATCCCTAACTCTGGAACCTTCTCGGTCGGTGTGGCTCCACCTGGGCCAGAGCGGGGCAGACTGTCCTTTGGAGAGTTGGCATCTCCATCTCCTGGGGCGGCCCCAGAATTCTCACGAAGCCTGACTCCCGCCTGGGATGGGCTGGGCGGCTGCCTCCATCTCTGGGGTCTCTCTCAGCCCCAATGCAAGGCCCAGCCCTGCCGGCCACGCTGGCTGGGGGATTTGTCTGAAACCCACTGCCTGTCCCGGAGGCCAGGGCTGGGGGTGCCCTCTGCTTCAGGATCCCTGATATCAGACAGAGAGTTCCCTCTGGGTGACTTACAGGCCACCATCAGCCGGTCACATCAGCCCATAGGCCTCAACCTGAGGAAGGGGGCCTCCTGGGAGATGCCTGGAGGGGCCTGAACATCAGGCAGAGGTCTTGCCCCAGAACAGGAACAAGAGGTTGGAAATCCATATGTGTTCCCACCTTTGTCTCCCCCTGCCTGCCCCCTAGTGCCATCAAGGCTTGGTCACTGAGTGGGCAATGGTGTTATTTCCCTTCTAGGTGGCCCCCAACACTTTGAAGACCCAAAGCCACCCAGGACCCGCAGTGCACTTGGCAACGAAAAAATTATGGAGGGTGGGGAGGCCAAGTGTAAACAAGAACACCACCCTCATGGATCAGAGCCCGGACAAAAGCTGCCCAGTCAGAGAAGCTTGTTCATTGCACATTTAATAGGACATGCAGCATCCGGGGAGCACGCGGGACGGGACGGGGCTTACACGGCACGGAAACACCCACAGAGGCAGCCACTGACGGGGCCAGGGCTGGGGAGGGCGACAGGGCAGGGGCACGGGCCAGGGTGACGTGTGATTCGTGACGGCCAGTGAGGATGTTTTGCAACACGCCCCCTGGACGACGAGAGACCCTCAGACAAGGGCATACCCCTCTCTGGTGAGGCTAGCCCCCTGAGACGCGGACAGCCACCCGTTGGACGAGGACAGACCCTCGGATGAAGACAGCCACCTCAGAAGAGGCGGCATCGAAATTGGGCCAATCGCATAATCTCGTTTGGATTTTGGGCTCCCTGAAGCTTCTATGAAGCTCCCTGCACTTGCCTAAGCCCCTTCAGGCCCATCGAACTTGCACTGTTACTGGACTGCAGATAGATTTTGGGGAGAATTCGTTTGGTCAACTATTTCATGCGTGGGGTCCAGGCTGGTTTGACAATGAGATGGGAGCTCTTATAACGGCTGCATGAGGCCCCTGAGGGGCAGGGCTGATAGCCCAGTGTGGGCACATCTGCAGAGAATGCGGGAGGAGGGGGCTCTGGTTCTTACAACCTAACCCAGGATCTATTTTGGAAACCCCTCCTCTCCCTCACAAGGTCCCCAGGAAGCTGCTTTGGGGAGAAGTGGACCCAGACCTCCCTCTGACTCCTAGGGAAGGCTGATTTAGAACAGGGTCCACTGGGCTTGGAGAGTCCCAAACTCAGACATGTTTCCTTTGCCTTCGGAGCATCTTGGCCCAGTAAAAGGACCACAGGTCAGTTGGTCCATGTTCCCAACCTGCTTTAAGATGGTGAGAGGTGAGGGCAAGACCCTCGAAGCCATGTAAACACCTTTCCATGCTCTGCGCAAGAGGGCTACCTGTGGGGGTCTTGTTGCAACAGAAATGGCATCAGCACCCTGATTCTGGAGGCTCTCCCCCTGCCCAGCCAGTCAGGGAAGACACTGAACTAAACAACCCAGAGGGTCTTCCTTTGGCGGGGGGGTAGGATCAAGGAGCAGGGTGCATGTTTGGGAGGGGATCCTTGAACTTCCCCACCTCTTCAACCTCAATTCTTTGCTCTGAGCCTGACCTTCCCACTGGGGACAGCCCCCGCTGGACATACTCTGTGCCACGTGGGACACTTGGCTTGGGATGGATAGGCATCACAGAGCCTGGGAGGCAGGCGAGGGGCAGAGGGACAGTGTGCCAACCAGCTCTGGAGAGAGGAGCTAGAGAGCCGCCGCGGCCACCCTCATCTTCCTCAGAGACAGCCAGGAGGCCGGCAAACTCATCCAGACAAGGGTCAGTGCCAACTCAGCCATTCTCCTCCCGAGAGGGCCCCACTAGAAGACTGAGGGGACTGGGAATCTCTGAGATGAGACAGAGAGGCAATGATGATGAGGAGGAGAACGGTGGGTGGGGAAGCAGGGCCGTCACTTCCTGGGGCCCTGGGCAGACCTGGTCTGCCTGCCTTGCATCTCTGAAAATGCACAAGGTGATCATTTTATTCCAAAAAGTGAGTCCGGGAGAGGGCACGACCCCTGCCACCAGGAGGCCAGCCCCCCGGCCCACCACACCCCCGGCCCGCTGCACCCCTGCCGCGCCCTCCTGCGCATACACAGCAGACACGACGGCCACCACACGACAGTTAGGGAGCGGGCTGGCCGCCGGCGGGCTCAGACGGTGAGGGAGATGAAGCTGTTGTAGCGCTGGATGTTCCTCTTGAGGATTTCGGAGCAGGGCCCCAGCACACGCTCAAAGCGTGGCCGGTCCAGCTTCACGCACTTGAGGGGCCCCCGGGCCACCACGGTGGCCGCACGGGGCCGGTTCAGCAGCAACGCAATCTCTCCTGTGGAGAGAAGGGGCGGTCAGCAGCCTGGCCAAGCACAGGGCCAGGCAAATACACCCTAGGAGGCCTGGAAGCTGCTCCCCTTCAAGGGTCCGTGCAGGTGGGGTGGCCAGATTTATGGAAGGGGAAAAGACAACAACCTCAGAGTGATGCCCAGTCAAATCTGAATTCAGGTAAACAATGAATCTTTTTTTTTTTTTAGTATAAGTACAGTCCATGCACTATTTGGGATATAGTTAAAAACTTCGCTGTTTATCTGACATTTAGATTTGATTGCGGTCCTCCTGGGCTCTGTCCAGTGCCATGAGTGCAGTGGGGACTTTGGGGTGCTGCCCAGATCCTCATGCTGTGGGAATGGGGGTGGTGGCAGCATCTCTCTCCAGATTATGCAGCCCAGATTATGCCCCGTCTCTGGTGACTGGTCAATGCGGGGTGCCCAGGCCAGGTGCATCACAGCAATCTAAGCTTGCTGAGAGGCAAGAGCTCCGGGTGGTTGAGGCCTCTGTGGCAGCCTCACTGGGGCTTGGCCTCTCCCTCTGCCCAGCCCTGGCCCCTGGAGGCCTTGTCCCTGGGGTCTCCACCTCAGGGCAGCTCCCAGGGCTGAGCAGTGCATGGGGAAAGGGTGCACAGAGTTGGTTCTGAGGTTCAAATGTGTCTTCTGAAAACATGCCCACTTACCGAAGTAGTCGGAGGGCCCGAGCCGCCCCACCTCCATGTACTCCTCGTTGGGGGACCGGCGCTGGAGCACGGATGCTGTGCCCTGTGGAGATGAGGGGGAAAGGTGAGAATCCACCAGGCAGAGCAGAGGGACCCTCGAGGGGCTCCTCCACCAGCTGCCCCTCCATCTGCTGCCCCTCTACCCACCACCCTGCTGGATCCAATTCTCCATGACATACCCATGGGGTCCTGGGGTGGAGGTGGCCCTATGTCTGTCCTTGAAGATATGTGGACACTGGTCAGGAGAGGCATGGAGGAACCCCGTGTGCGGCCCCCGGGCAGGGAGACGTCCGGGGTGCCCTGGATGCACCCCTTCCCAGGGTCCACGTGCACCCCTACCCAGGGGGTTTCCCTGCACCCCTTTCCTGGGCGCCCTGGACATGCCCCTCCCTGGGGTCCACGTGTGCCTCGGGCGATGCAGCTTTGCGCTGACCTTGAATTCCCTCTCAAGGACTGGATCGCGCCCAGCTGCCCGGGGGCTCGGGGCTGCAAGGGCATGTGCTCAGAGTCACAGCTCCCCCCTCAAACGGGGAGGGGTCTGCAGACAAGCCTGGCTCAATGATTAACACACTAACACAGAGGCTGTGGGCTGAACAACAGGGAGACTCGGAGCCTTCACCACCTGCGGAATATGTTACACATTAAAGAGTCAGCCAGGGACCCCCCCTCCCTGCTGTTGGGGTGGTAGAAATGTCCCCCATATTCCACTTGTCCCACAAGGGGGCCCTGGGGGTCAGGGGCCATGGGGTATCATGGAGAGAGTGCAGAAGGGATCCCAGGTGTCAGAGGGGCCATGGGATGTCATGTAGAGTGGGGCAGGGGGCTGTCGGGTGTCATGCTCTGAACCCCTCCTCTATGAATGGGGCCCTGGTACCCCACGCCCACGGCAGCCCCTGGGACAGCTGCGCCAGGACAGCCACCAAGCCTCCCCCTGCACACACACTCCCACACCCCTTCAGAGCCACTCACAGGGTACACCAACACTTAATTCCAGGGTGGGCTTGGTTCACCTGGATCATTCGACCAGCCAGCTCCAGGTTAATGTGTAACTCCCCAGACTGTCAGAAGACCCTCTGTGCCCACCGCACTGGGACCACCAGGCAGCCCCTGACAGCTGGGCCTGCCCAGGCCCTGCTGGGCCACCGGCTCCAGGCCTGCATGGGTTTATGAATCTGCACTGATGGATGGCTGGGCCGTGTGGCAGCAAGCCGTCTCCCCACCCCAAGCGCCGCCACCACCACCGCACAAGGGTGGGACAAGGAGCCTTAGCCTGCCAGGCGCCTGCAGCCTCAGGCCTCATGATCACCGAGCCTGGGGACACTTTCCTCTCCTTTAAATTGCTGCTGTTGTGAGAATCCAAACAAAAAAGTCCCAGGGGGTTCACCACGCGGTCAGGAGCAGAGCCAGCCTGCAGTACACAAGTGCTGCTACAGGATTATGATTTGTTTTGATGCCCCATTGCAGCCACTTAATGGCCTTTACACTTGCACCTTCTTACTTATCAAGTATATACAGTACCTGCCTTTCATTCCCACATGTAACAACTTCCCTTTTCCAACTGGGGTCGTTTGACCCTCTTATCACCCCAGGAAGGAAACTGAAAGTCTCTCCTTCACAGTCTCAGCCCCTCGTCTAGCTTACATGTTGCTGTGATGCTGGAAGCTATGCCACCGTATTTCAAATACCAGCAGAGTCACCCATGGTGGACAGGTTTCAGCAGAGCTTCCAGACTAAGACAGACTAGGAAGAAAGGCCTGGTGATGTAGTTCTGAAAATTAGCCAATGAAAACCCTATGGATCACAACAGAACATTGTCCAACTCACTTACTTTGGACACGTCATCAGGAGGGATCAATTACTGGAGCAGGACATCATGTTTGGTGAAGTAGAGGGCCAACAGGGGCAAGGGAGATGCTTGGTGAGATGGAATTGCACAGAACAAAATGCTGCCCAGTCTGGCACCATCTTCATGATCTTTGGTATGTTTAAATCCATTGTTGTGGCTACTGTGTCAATTCATCTCATTGAGGGTTTCCCTCATTTTTGCTGACCTTCCACTTTACCAACCATGATGTCCTTTTTTTAGTGATCGGGATGATGTGTCCAAAGTAAACAAGCTGAAGTCTGCCATTCTTTCTTCTAAGGAGCATTCTAGCTGTATTTCTTCTAAGACTGATGTGTTTGTTCTTCTGGCAGTAGACGGTACGTTCAATATTCTCAGACACCACCACAGTTCAAACACATCAATACTTCTTCTGTCCTCCTTTTTCATTATTCAACTTTCGACACATACCCAGGCCTCCCTTGTGGACAGGTGTGGTCATGTGACCAAGTCCTCCCCAATGGGCCCTGCTCCCTTCCCCACCCCACTGCTGGAACCCAAGTGGTGCCAGCCCAGCCCAACCACTTGACGTCTACAAGACCCTGAGGTATGGCAGAGCCACAAGATGAAAGGGCCACGTGGAACGGAGCCACCCACCAACCTGGAATACTCACCGTTGGGGGCTGAATTGTGTCCCCAAAATGATATGTTGAAATCCTAACTTCTGTACCTGTGAATGTGAACTTGTTTGGAAATAGGGTTTTTCTTTCAATTTAACAAGGTCATAACGGAGCAAGGTGGGTCCTAATCTCTTCTGAGTGGTGTCTTATAAAAGGGGAGAACAGACAGGGAGACAGAGTCATACAGGGGGAAGACACCATGTGAAGATGCATCTACAAGCAGCAAAGGAACGCCAAGGATTGCCGGGAGCCACCAGAAGCTGGGAGAGAGGCATGGAGCAGATTCTTCCTCAGAGTCTCAGAAGGAATCAACACAACTGACACCCTGATTTAGACTCCCAGCCTCCAGAACTGTGAGACCATAAATTTCTGTTCTTTAAAGCCACCACTTTGTGCATTTTGTTACAGCAATGCCAGGACACTAAGATACTCCCCAACAACATTTCTAGAAGAAAATTCTTCCACCTCTAAGCCTCATGGCCGTGGGATGCTTGTTACAGCGGCTCGATCTCTTATCCCAACTAATGTACCACCCAGAGTGGATGGCAAAGGCAGGGCAGTGACAGTCCCTGTGCAGTGACAGCTCTGTCTGTCATACATCCACACGAGTCGTCCATCTGTGGATAGAAGCAAGAGGATGGTGGGGGAGAAGAGCGACAGAGGGATAACCAGACTCCACGCTAGCAAAGCAAAGTGTCCACGCCACATGGACAACAGGCACGACCACCACGTGCTCTCAGCTTCCCAGGGCCACCCCAACTCCAAGTCCACCAACATCCCTCTGACCACTGACATCCTGGAAATCATTTTTTCATGCACCTGGAGCTCCCAGACTATCCTGGAAGCAGCACCGACATTCTCAGGAGGTTTATGAGTCTGGAGTTTCAGGCCGAAAAACATTTTCCAAAACTCTAGATCATATTCCCCAAATTTCTCACTTATTGATTCTAACTCATCTCTAAAAATAAACCAGGTCACATACCATAGAAGACAACCTGGAAGGACACACAATAAGATGTGAGCAGAAGTTGTCTCTAGCAAGGTAGGGTTAAAGATGACCTGGTTTTCTTACAGTTTTTTTTTTTTTTTTTTTGAGTTTCTACAAAATCAAAATCAAATACAAAATTGAAAAGTTGATTTCTTCTGAAAAATTGAGCCTTGTGGGTACATTTTTAAAAGTTAAGGAAAAAAAAAAAAATCATTGCCCCAGCAATTTCACTCCTAGGCATACACTCAAAAGAATTGAAAGCAGGAACTCAAACAGATCTGTGTGCACCAATGTTCATAGCAGCACTATTCACAATAGCCAAAAGGTGGACACAACCCAAGTGTCTATCAACAGATAATGGATAAACACAGTGTGGTTCATCCATACAAGGGAGTTTCATTCAGCCATAAAGAGAAATGAAGTTCTGATGCATGCTACCACACAGAGGAACCTCGAAAAGAACATGCTGAGGGACATAGACACAAAAGGACAAATACTGTATGATCCCACTTACAGGAAATATCTAGAATAGGCAAATGCATAGAGACAGACAGTTTATTAGCTGTTACCACGGGTTGGGAGAGGCGGGGGAAAGCGGAGTATTGCTTAGGGTTACCGAGTTTCTGTTCGGGGTGATGAAAAACTTTTGGAAACAGATAGTGGTAATGGCTGCACGACATGATGAATTGTACACTTAAAAATGGACAAAATGACAAATCTCGTGTTATGTATATTTTACCACAATAAATTTTTTTTTTTTTAATGAAAGCAATCATTGCAACAAAAACTGCTTTCTCCCAGTGGAAACAATTTTAAGACTCTCACTGAACTCCCCTCCATCCAAATTCATGTTCTGCTCCCTAACACGGATGATTTCTCTGTGAGCTCCTCAGCTAAGTGCGTATTCCAATGTTTTGGGGACCAGCTGCATTTTTCACTTGTTTGTTTTAAGTGCCCGAGCCATTTATCTGACAACATTCCTCCGCTCTGCCTCCCTGCTCACAGCAGCCATGAGTGGTGTGCATGTAAAAGTCACACACTCCGGGCTGCAAACTGTCCTGTAACAACTGCACAAACACACTCAGTCAGTGACCGGGCACAGGTTGGTTTTCATGCCAACTTCTAGTGAATCATCCACCCAGCTGGGGCCTCGGTGGAGGCACGACTCGGTACCTTCTGTGGGAAAACAGCGGCGCTAACGTGGGTCCCGTGCCCAGCTTCAGGGAGGCCTGTCTGCACCAGCCTGGGGCAGGGGTCAGCGCCGGGACGGCCCCTCCTGCCTGCACACCAGCACAAGGCAATAAAAATCAGGAAGAGAAAAAAAAAAAAAAAGCCAACAAAAAGCCTGCATTTTCGGGATTCTTCCTTTCTGCAAACCTAGTTATTATCTCCATGTTCTCTGAAGCCAGGAAATGTCTGTCACCCGACATGAAAGTAGCTGGGAAATGGATGACCCGCCAAGCACGGGTGCAGGTGGGCACGACCGAATCCTGGGAGAGGGGTGTCGGTGGGCCCCCTCCTGCTGCCATCTGCCCTCAAAAGTGCCTGCAGGA